ATTGTAACCTATTTTAGAATTGTAACATGGTTGAGTAAAAATAATTGTAAAAATGTAGCTTATATTCAATGACTATTTTCTTTTGATATTGGAAAAAAAAATATAAGGTTGACACTTATACAAGGAAAAGTTGCCTCTTTGACTCTGCTGTCTAATGGCCAATCTGGCTGGGAAAAAAAATCAGGCCATTTATGGCCATCAATTTTATTCTCTGCTGTAGGGATGAAATTAAAGTTTAGTCTGAACACCACAAGTTCAGACCCAACCTTGGCTGTTTGGGTGTCGTTAGTACATAACAACTTCACTCTGTCAATGGTTGTTAAGGTTTCCAGTGGGTAGAGACACCACTGAGCCCCTAACAACCAGTGACGTCATAGGCCCCATTTACTTATATGGCCTGGAATCAAAGGAGCTAGGGATAGTTAATTAAAAAAAAAAAAAAATTCACCCTATAAGTCAAATCTGGCCATATAGGTTTGGAATACATTTTATGGGGGAAATGCAGAAAACAAGAAAAAAAAAAAGAAAATGACATGTGATACCCCCAGATCCAAAGGTCTGTGGGTGTCCCCCCATATTATCTACACAAGACCCTCATATATGATAGACACCTGGTATATATGAATGGAATCCCAAAGTGGCCCAGAGCTGTCATTTTGCCATCAATTTAACCACTTTCCGCTGCCCCGTCCCAGCCCTTTAAATGCTGGGAGGCATGGGCAGGCATTCCGATCATGTGACCACTCTGATTGGCAGTCACAGTGGCCACATGATCAGAAAGCTCCTGATCACAAGCCTGCATCTGGAGCCTTCCGGTACCCACCAGTTACTGTGCTGGGAGCATAGTGACATGTTTACCTAGGGAAGCATATATGTGGCCACTCGGCATTAAAGTCCACCCACCAAGAGGCTGCATTTATACGTATGGGCGGCAAGAAGTACACACTAATTTTAAATGGCAGTTTTACTGTAGTAGGTTGTATACATCGTCCAAATGCGCCACTTCATAGGCAGGGCCAACGCTTCCCCTGATTTGGTATTTAAAGGAATTTAGCATTTTTTATGTTTCACTCTAAGCTTTACTAAAATCACTGCTCCCAGAAAAAGTGAAATTAAACATTTTGTTTTGCATGTCCCCCAGGGCAGTGCCTAGTCCCCTGTGCCATTTGTTTAACAATCTCTTGTCTATTAGACTAGAAGATGGCTATTGCTGGTTTTAACATTCAGCTTCCATTGACTTCTATGGGGTTCAGATGCAGTACTCCATTAAAAAAATGGAAGAAGAAGCTCCTAACATATATGCGCTGACTCTATTTGTTAAAAAAAAAAAAAAACTTAGGGATAAGAGTGAACCAGGAAATATTGGCTTGGGGGGGGGGGGGGGGGTGCGGGGCAAATACAACCAAAAAGCCTTTTTATGTTAGGGACAATTTGCTATGGGCGATCCTGATGGGTGATCCTAAAAGATATGATATATTATGGCACACCTTTTTTCATCTCTCAGTTTCCTTTGGAGCTCTCAGCATTACTACTTACTACCCCTGTATATTTCCAGCCCTACCTCTTTTAGGGCTTGTGTATATACAACATGCTTTCAAGTACATTCAACATGCCTTCAAGATCACTTTGAGATGCTTTTGAGGTGCTTAATGGTTTTACAAGCTACATCAAGCTGCTATGAGCTGCTTTTGCAATCCTACTGAAGGGGTAAAAAAGCAATTCTTTTAGAAAGACATGTTAGTATACACCATCCTTTACAGGAAATAAAAGGAAAAAAAGCTTAATAAAAGTTAAATAGTCAACAAATGCTAACACAAAAAGAACCTTGTTTTATCTAAAACCTACCACCACCCTTCCATTTTTCTTTGGGCACATCATCCTTTTTAGCTATTGTTAATGCACAAGAAGGGAAAAAAACCCAACAGAAACACAATTTTTTACATTTTCCGTCCCTTTGTATAGACAGCTCCAGTATACAGCAAAATGCCCAATTTAAGTCAGCAGTAGCCAGAATTACACGTTCTATGAAGTGCTCATATCAAGTACAACACTCTATAGCCTACAGGGATTACTTAGAGTCTGGGAAAATAAAAAAAAATATCTACTTGACCCACAAAGCCCACGGTGTAGCCAGGCACGGTATGCCATTATTATGCAGAATTCTGATGGTGTAAATATGCTTGTTTGTGCTGATTATGATATTACAGGATTTTAAAGAAAGTGGAATGTAAACGAGTGACCAGCTGCGGGGATTCTGTTAATGTGAGATTACCTTCTGCCGAGCTCTGACAGTGTCTAACATGTGCTAGCCTTGATATTTCTTCACAGTAAAACCCCGGGGGACTGCGGCATGAGGCCACCGCATGAATTCCTAATACAGGCACGGCCAGGGTGCATGCTTTTTCATGTTAAAGAGCCCTGTTCTTTTCTCAACAGATCGCAGCTCACAGAGGAAGTTAATTTTTGAACAAGTGATTAAAAAAAACGGACTGCCAAACACAATTGTTTAAGGCTAGGTTTATAGGACTGTTTAAAGGGAGCGCTGGGCACATGTTTCCGACTTCTGCCAAGTGACATCCTCAACCATCAAATCGAAGAAAAAGTACTGAGTAAACTTAGCAATGTTTGGGTTGACCATGGATCTACACTGCTTGGCCCAGCGGGAGAGTATCGTTGACGCTGAACAAAACAGCGGGTATGGTAACAAGTAGTGCCATCATCCTTTGTATGACCCCATAAGAAAAACCCTCCTTTTTATGGGATTTTTACGGAACAGAACAAGGGATAAAACCATTTGTTTGGTAAAAGTTTAGAACAATATTTTATTGAACACAAAATGTTATCATTTCCATAGACATGCATATTATGGTGGTTATACATTACATGTCTGTTACAATTGGTGTAGAAGCAAAAAAATCATAAATAGGACACTTGACGTGTTTCCCTCAGAAGTGCCTAAATAGGACATGATACCTATGGTATATATATATATATGTATGTATAATTACGTTAATATATTCATCCATCTTGAATTCCATCCCAGAGTATACAAAAGTCAATTACATAACCCAGCAGTGAAGAAAAGATAGAAGGACCGCCACTGTTATGAAAACCAGAAAACATGTATGTAGCCACTTTATCCCAAATCCTCCCAGACCGCTGAAAGAAGACCACCTGGACAGCTCCCTACCGAACACAACATGAATCAACTACATTGTAAAGCTGAACCTAATTTTGTGAGATCAAGGCCATACAGACCGTAATATAGGGTGGACATTTTTACACTTCTTATCAGAAGTAAAAAATATGAAAATAGTTACAAAGCCAGAACTTGTTTTCCATTTTTTACAGAATGAAGAATGTTCAATGCTACTGTCATCTTCTTTTTATGCCCTCTGTGTCCAGTTGAGAAGATTATCCTTAAAGTAGACCTACAGGTAATACTTTGTTAATTTTGGATAGAGTAAGAGAGGGTTATAACCCCTGCCAGTTTTATTTTGCCATCTGTGTCCCCTTGGGGAGATTTGCCTTAATTTCCTGTTGCACAGCCAAAACAGGAAGTGAGAGGAAATTTGTGCACATTAAGGGAAAACCCTGGGCCACCCCCTCCCCCCCTCACGTCAGCAGAACTTGTGTCCCCTTAGGAAAATCTCCCCCCTATTACGTCTCTGGGGACAACCCAATATTTGGGATTTTCTTTGACTTTCACTTTTGATGATAATGATAAACAGAACAAACAGAGAGGGGGAACCTCCCTAATGGGGGCACAGACAGCAATACAAACCTAATAGGTGTTCTAATCCATGTCCTCTCTGTCCAAAACAAATTTAAAAAAATGTCCTTTAGTTATACTTTAATTTTCTGCCCTGTAGACACAACAGGTAGTGAAACGAAATCTCTGTAAAGTGAGGGAAATCCCTCTTAGACAATTCACTTTTGGGACAGATATCCCCCCTGGTAGACTTTCTTTTCTGATGACAACTCAAAACGGTTTTTGTTTCACAGCCCTGATGAAAGAGAGGGGGCCTGGATCCCCCAAAGCACAGGGGCTTAACATTCATGCTTAGTATGCATTGGCGGAAACACGATAAGGCTGGCCATATACACTAGTACATTTTTTAACATACTTTCGTATACTTTTGTAAGTACTTTCAGTAACTAGATGAATGTCGTTGGAGTGATTCAAATGATTTTAAATTTGATTTTGGAATGAATAGACTTTTACAAACAAAAACCACATACAATGTTAGAAATGTGTGTGTTCAAGAAGAAATTTCCACCAATTTTTTTTGTCAGTGCAGTCAACATGAATGTCCATCCTACACCATTAGTGATTAGAAAATCAAATGAATATTCTGAAAACAAAAGAATGTCAAATATACCTCTATTATTGCTGCTTCACCACCTGCAGCTGCATTGCAATGCACTGAGCTTAGCGGATTGCACTGTTTCCTTTTTTTTTTGTTTTAACCTCCCTAGCGGTCTGATTATGTCCATATTTCTGTGCTCAAAGTGGTACATTTTTTTGCATGGAAATATATATTTTTTTTATTGTAGGCTGTAATTTTTAGGAATAACTCCCTAAAATCTGTCCGAACAAGAGTCTAGTAAACATCACGGGTATGTTAAAATTTGAAACACGAAATCATAAATTATAATTTAATAAATAATCATAAAAATTAATAATATAATAATAATAAATTTAATTCAATAATATATTCAAACCAAAAACTCTGAAATTTGAAAGATAGCGCCAAGTTTGCACATCACTGAGCTTAGTCGCAAAATCGTTTTCAGTGTCTGATGACGAATTTCCCCCATGAATCATTATCACTCAATTCTGCAAGTAGTTCTGATTTACTATCGCTGTTCTCTAGCCGGTCTAAAGCCGATTTTGACCTAAAGGGACGCTTTTTGGACGCCATGGACATTTCTCAGTTTCCAGGCAGAAAGAACAGTAAAAATGCAGACAGGGCACAGGACAAAGCACTCAGGACAAAATGTATATGAAATGGTTTGATACAGTAATGTTTTACTATGTGATTTTAATGAATTTAGTGAATGTCACTTTTTGTCATTTTCAAATTTCCCGCCGTTCCGTCCCCCGTACGTCCTGACGCTCGCAGGGAACGGAACCTGGAAGACAGATGCCGGCATCCGCCGGAGGACATTACAGGGGACACTGCAGGAGGGACATCGCGGGAGCGCAGGACAAGGTAAGTGATCGAGGGGTCCCGGAGCAACGCCACATGGTAAGCCCGAGTGTAGCTCGGGGTTACCGCTTGTGGTACTGAAACTTTATCTCGAGCTACACTCGGGAATACCGCCAGGGAGGCTACGCAAACTTTATTGAGATGTCACAAGTACTGAATGCAGTAGATTTTATCAGCACACTGTGCACGCACACCACCTTAATGCAGTGGTGTGAATCAGAGACATAAAAGGCAAGGCAATTAGCCTTGTCCATGTGGTGGGACTAGTCACCCAATGCAGTCCCACCGCATCTGGACTGAACCATATCTTAGTGTATAGCCAACTTTAGCTATTTGGAATCTTTATGTATGGTGTGGCACTCTTTCAATCTAAATCATCTGAACCCAGTTTGAAAAATCTAGACCCCATACACTCAATAAAAAACAATAAAAACCTGCCAGATGTTCTTACCCCTTACAATGCTATCTAAAATGTCAAAATAAAATTGGCTTATGATACATTTCAAAGGTCGAGGTGTGAAAAAGGAAATGGAGCCTATCTTCTCGTTACTTTCGTTTTTCATCCAGGCATGCTATACCTCTGCTTGTAATGCAAGAGTATAATTCCCAAATACTCCCACTGCCAACAATTTGTCATCTGTCAAATACAGAAAACCTGCAAAAAAAAAAAAAAAAGCAATTGGAAAAGCAATTGGTTCATGTAAATGCCCCTTCCCAAGTTGCCTATACTCACCTTAATTTCGATCACTGCCAGCTTCATTCAGCTGCCGTGAGAAATGTAGAAAAGAAGGAGCGCACGATGTCCAAAAGAATGCACTTTTGATGGAAGATTAGGAGGCATTTATTGAGAGTAACGACAAGTACATCAAGCCAACGCGTTTCGGGAGAAAAGACTCTCCCTTCTTCAGGGCTATTAAACAAATATGAAAAATATACAGAGAAACAAATATATGAGAAAGAAAAAAAAAAAGTATGTATACTATCCCTTGGTGCCGCCGCCTCCCGACCCTTTAAGGGTTTCAGAAGCCAGGAGGCTGGGCAGGGTTTTAGAGTCATGTGGCGATCACATGATCCGGAAAGGTCCCCATCAAAAGAGGAGATTGGGACCTTTCCGTGAGTACCGGACATGTGTGCTGGGAGTGCGCAGGGCATGCGCCCTCAGCACATATGTTTTTCTTAATTGCCCACAAATGTGCAGCTGCTCGGCGTCAAGGCCCAGACACCGGGGGGTTTATTTACTAAACCTGGTTGAATCTTGTCCACCTCTGCATAAAAACCAATCAGCTTCCAGGTTTTATTGCTGAAGCTTAACTGAACATGCTGAGGTTAGAAGCTGATTGGCTACCATGCACAGGTGCCCAAGATTCTGAGTCAACCAGGTTTAGTAAATAAACCCCCGGGAGTCCACACATTTGCATGCGGCCGGTGCCAAGAGGTTAAAAAAAACCATATATATTAAAAACATATTAAAAAATTTTAACATTATGTCAATTATGTAGAGGCAAAATTACCAAGGTAAAATATGAGTGTAGAAAGGAAGTCGCACCTAAGCTCCAAGATGCTTTAGTATGAGTTTACATAGGACTGGGGATTCTATCTCCACCCCATGTGACATAATATGGCCAATCGCTAAGCACTAGCATTGTCAAATGAGGAAGGTAAGTAAGGCAGCCCATGCAATAGTCACCTTTTTTTTCATTCAACCTGCAGGTTGAACAAAAAAACAAACACCTGGATCTGGATGGGAGAATCACACCCACTGAGCTATTGTGTTCTGATGGCAGGGAGACTTACCTGCTGTCAGAATACACTGATCAGTGCTGCTGGCTACTGCTGACAGCACTGATCAATTGGGAAAAATCCGACAGGGTGGTTGTAGGTTGATTGGTAGATCAACGTCTGTACAGCCAGCCTGCCCATGCATGGACTGAAATTCATCCAGTCCCTGCTGAACCAGCGGAACGTCAATCCATGTATGGCCAGCTTAGGTCACAAGCTTTTTACCTTGTAGTACTTGGTATTTTCCTTACTGCTGGAGCCTGAATGGAGATACGGGGGGAGTCAATTATTATGTGCTGCTAGGGAGGGGGCATTAAAGTGAACTCATTGTTTTACCTTACATGTGTATTGTCACTTTAATCCCTACCCTGGCTCAAAATTATAGTCTATAGCTGGCCATACTCTAGTAGATTTTTGAATGAATATTCATATAATTATTCGTATGAAAAATTCTTAGTACATTGGATGACTTGACAAATGTTGTTTAAGCCTGGGTTCACACTGATGCGGTATGGACTTCTGAGTGGTTTCTGTGCGAATTCCGCAACACATCACAATCGCACCCTGTTCATGCGAACCGCTGCGGGTGTGTATGTTATGTGCAGAATGGGCATACCCCTGAAGATGTGCTGTCGCATGAAACGCATTGGGGGCCTACATTCTTGATGCCATGCTGCCGCTACCGAGGAGCGGCGGCCATCCTGCTGATTCCCCCCAGGATTAGATGACACCTGCCCCAACTCATGGAGGGAGGGAGCTGCAGGAGTAAATCCGAAGCTGTCATTATACCCCCAGATGTGTGATATTAACAGATGCATTGATTTACTTGCAGTCTGGTGAGTGTACATCCATCTGAGGCGGTGGATTCTCTTCATCAATAACCACACGTTTGCACTTGCACACTTGGATAAAGGACATTAGCACTTTTCACTGCCTGCTCTATAATATTTGTGGTTGTCACGGACTCTCAGTGATTCATTTATTTATTTGATTGCACTATTCACACACTTGTTTGCACTTTATATATTCCAGTATGATATAAGATATTTACGCTTCATGGGTTTACATTGCTGCACATTTATGATATACGTTTACATTGGGACAGTTACTGATACCTTAAGGGCTAGCAGCTATTTCATTTATCCATAATTAATTTATTTACATAATTTTAGATATAATTTTTTAGAACTTGCTTTTATACTCTATTTTTGTGTGAAATTATGAATATATAAATTATTACCTATACCCTACAGTACTAACGACTACTAGGTATAACACTAACTATAAGATCTCATTATATGCGCTCGCTTATTTTTCTTTCTATGTTATGTGAACACCCCGAAATCAGTTTGCAAAACGCGGTGCGATGTGCAGAATCGGATTGCATAGGTGTGAATACCTATGTGATCTGATTCTAGTGTATACCAAAAAAAGGGTCCTGCATGTTTTGGTGCAGGTGCGGTGCGATTTGAGCCATACAAAATATATGGCTCCAAACGCACTGCACACAATTCACATGTGATTTGCACAGGAACGTGCTGCGGTTCCTGTGTGAATCACATGCGATATACCCAGGGGCGGACTGACAACTCATGGGGCCCCCGGGCAATAGGGGATCATGGGGCCCCTGTGTCCTTGCCCAAACACAAAAAAGCCTATGAAAAAGGTACCAGGGGAATCTCATGCGGCCCCCTACTGACCCCTGGCCCTCGGGCAGTGCCAAAATTTCCAAATGATCAGTCCGCCCCTGGATATACCGCATGTGATTCACACTTGAGTCTAGGTTCACACTTGTGCGGTGCGGTATATCACATGTGAATCACATATACCGCACCGCACAAGTGTGAACCCATTGTTTAAGTACATCAAAATTTGGTTTTCTTTTAGGCCTCATGTACACATGAACTCCTCTAGACATTTAGAACTCCTGGCAGCAGAAAAATGGTAGCCGCATTTACCTGCGTTTAGTGCTTGGATGTATATTCATTTGATTTGCCAGAGTATTTTCCATTGACATGAATAAACGCTCAAGCACTAAACACAGATGAAGCTGCACTGATGGGCACTGATGAGGTTGCACTGATGGGCACTGATGAGGTTGCACTGATGGGCACTGATGAACCTTCATTGATGAGGTGGCACTTATGGGCACTGATGAGGCTGCACTGATAAAGTGGCACTGATAGGTGTCACTAATAGGCACTGATAAGCAGCACCAATGGACTTTAATAAGCTGCGCTGATGGGCAGTGATTGGCACTGATGGGGCTGCACTGATTATCAGTGCTCTGACTATCAGTGTAAATGTGTGCCATCACAGGAATGCTGGTTATCTGCTTTCCTTTCCTCACACAGTGACAGCGCATGAGTAAAGGAGATGCCGATAACCAACATTTGTTTACATGGGATCAATTGTGATTGGACATAGCAGATCACATGGTAAAGGGCCATTACAATTGACCATTTTCCTCAATCTGTAATCAGCTGTGTCCTCTGGACACTGATCAGAAAGCTTACCCAACGACTGCCCCGGGGGGCACACAGGGGATCTGGGTTTTGGGAGGACATCTATAGATGCCCTCCTAGACTAGATGACCTCACTGTAGTCATCTTTCGGCAATGGCGTGGTTGGGAGGAGGTTAATGGTGTGGGAGCTTTTTTCTACCATGTTTAAAGAGTGACTCCATTTTTGTTGAGAACAAATAATCCTTCTGGGTGATCTACGTACAATGCAGGGATTTAAACAAACTGGCAATTTATTTATTTTTTTGCTTTTTTTCACCATGAAAGTGGAGTTCCCCTTTAAAGCAGTCTCAACAGTACTCCACACTTCCGATAAATGACACAGTTGCAGCCTCTCTCGCCGCTGACTTTACTTCCAGCCTACGAGGCAATGGTCTATTTTCCTCTAAAACCGACCGCGTGGTATCAAATCATTTAATTGAGATTTCCCTGATAGTTTTCAGTTGTGATTGCGACCTTCCTGCAGCGGAATTCAATCGTAATAAAATATCCCGGCTGATTATATTTTGCTGATTAGTATTATTTTCTTGTCCTTTATTATAGCTATCTGCCACGGCACTCTGGGTTCTTGGCAGGGCGACGGCTGAACGCTCGACAGGAGCTACTTATGATCAGTATTTGATTCTATATTTCCTTGTCTGGGTTTTTCGCAGCCGCGGTGCAGGCGTTTCGGCTCTTTCCCAAATGTAGCCAAGGCAAATCAAGTCTTTCGCTGCTAAAGTGACACCAATCCCTGGAGATGACTCATTAGCCGTGTCGTTTTCTGCCATTTTTACCTTGACACTCGGGGCACCTGGCTCGAGGCCGGTGGAGGACATCACTGTGCAA